AAGCAAGCAGCTGAGAACCAAAGAGATGAGCGTGGTTTAACGTTATATTTTCTTGCTGGGATGAAAGGCTCGATACCAGCTTTTGCGCAGGACGAGACTTTGAACTTTAAAAACTAGATTCCAAAGGACGTCGCGATGAATATCACGGAACGAGTCCCAGTCTGCTCATTGATGACAGAAATATATTATGTTAGTAGGAGGTTCTTGGCTGGAAGGGAAGTTGAAGGAAATGTTAATAGAAACTGCGGCATGATCAGAGTTACCAAAACGGCAGAGCTGAGTAGCGAGACAACAGTAAAGGGTGGCGGTAAAACAGGCATTGAGAGCGGAAGCCTTATCATCAGGGTTACTGGTGAAACGTGCAGGAAAGTGATGTAATGGAATAACCCGGCACCACCATGAATAATTACACTAGAGGTAGTAAGTGCCTATAAAGTCAACTGTCTACGAGAGACTTGAGAAAGAGTGAGAGCCAGACGACGCAACCACGTCCAACCTTCCAATTAGTGGCACTCACTACTAGATTGACCTGTGTGTATAACTGTACCGTATTTTATATTGTACTGGTTGTGTACAGTAAACCTTTCTTCTATTATTCACCTGGTGTTAAGTATTTATTCCCTTAGAATGGAATATAACAAGAATAGAGCCCTTTTTAGTTGTTTTTAATCACAATGTAATTCTCTGCATTAAAATATTTTAAAAAATAAAATATACTTTTCTGAAACTTTATTTGAGTAATATTAGCTGATTTAAAGTATAATTAATCTGATTTGATAAAAAATATTATTTACTTTAAGTTCAAAATAACACAGTATTGTATTTTTTAAAACAAACAATAGCTGTGTTTTTGACTGACATCACCATGTTTTACATAATTGATGAGGCGATTATAGGTAATGTTGCAATGATTGCTGTTCTATGGAGACTTTGTCTTAAAACAATTTTAAAAAAATGATGGAAGTTTATTTTAATATAATTCTTATGTACTAAGTAACAATCTTAAAAATGTTGGAAAATATTCTCTGTAATCTAATGTTAGGAATATTGACTTTAAATTTACTATAGTCATTGCTCTAAAATTGATGTAACGGAACAACCAGTTACACCCATGAATGATTACACTATAGGTAGTAAGTACCTATAAAGTCAACTGTCTACGAGAGACTCGAGGAAGAGTGAGAGAGAAGACACAAGCACGTCCAACCTTCTAATTAGTGGTACTCACTACTAGATTGACTTGTGTGTATAACTGTAACGTATTTCATATTGTACTGGTTTTGTACAATAAACCTTTCTTCTGTTATCCACCTGTTGTTAAGTATTGATATGTCCCGGAAAGGGATATATTTGTTCGAAGTAGCAAAGTTGGTTTTGTACTACTGTAACCGAGTAGGACAATCTAGCAGGTAACCTTCATGGACTGGTCCTCGTCGTAGTGGTAGACAATAGGTGTAGCCAATAGGCTTCGTCATCAGTCTGTATTTATGGCTGACACCAGCTAATCATATTACTGTGAAGGGGAACCAGGTGTATGCATATTCATTACATCAAGTATTTATTCTCTTAGCTCGGAATATAACAGAAAGTCAACAATTTGTGTGAGGGGTTGAGTGATTGAAAAGTTAAAAAAGGGTTTGGATGCAAGCGAGGTCAGTTACTGAGTGTTTAAGCCACATGGTATGGTGGACATTAAATCAGCGAACACGAATATACGCGCAAGCGGATGTAGAAAGATGGCTTTGGCTATATTACCGGAAATGATATCGAGTACACTGCGGTCTTGAGAGGAAGGGGAACGATAGAGAAAGAAGAGATAGCTTACTGAATTGAGGAGAGATAGACGGAGACACATACAAACAGTCTGGAAATTCAAGAGAGAATTCCCTATCCAGCAGGAGATGACCGTGGACATAGACTCCCACGCCGTGCATGTGGATTTTAGAGTCCTTTCTAAGGAGAGGAACGTAGTCGAGAATTGAGAAATCAGAGGACGGGATTGATGAATTAAGGTTGGTCTTGCAGGAGACTTTTCGAAGAGGATCAATTCCACACTGCAGAAGTTGGTGCAAATATTGGAGAAGGAAATGTTAAAAGGGTTTAGGTGATTTTTTTTTTATCTGGTTTAGGTTTATATTTTTGACTAGCAGCATGGCCCGGCGTTGCCCGTGCTTGATTCAAAAATCTGTTACGAAAAAAGAACAAAGCAAAATAAACACAAAACGATCAGCTTTAAAAAAGGACTCGTAACTGGAAAAAAACAAATGAAAAAAGATTGTTAACAACATATACTTTTTCACTCCCAACCCAGTTCTGCGGAATCAGAATCAACGTTTAGTTTTAGCAAGCGAATGAGGCAATTGGAGTAAAGTGCCATGCAGATTTAAATTTTTCCCTCTTGTGACGAATGCACCTATCGATTTTTTTTGCATGCTAGCATGCTAGTTAACATTCGTGTCAGTCAGCTGTTGGCTCTCACGCTGGCCAATAGAATCTTCCTGGTTATTCGTGGCAGCCAGCTATAGGTTCTCACTCTGGCCAGTAGAAAATGGCCGCAAACTACATGAAAACTGCCGTAGAAGCATGAAAAAATCGATTATTTGGACTATCGATGGGAGTTGGGAAATACAAAGTCGGTATTGGCCTTCTTGCTAACTTAGAGCATGTGCATGTAAATTTCGGTGCAAATCCGTCGAAAATTGCGACCGTGCATTCGTCACACACACACACACACACACACACACACACACACACACACACACACACACACACACACACATCCTGCCTTTTATAGATAGAGATTGTAGGCTCATGTTGGTAAGGAACAGGCCTGCAGTAATAGTATCAGACGGTCATCATATGTGACATGGGAAGAAAGGAACTGGCGCAGACTGCAACATTACCCAGCCTTCCATACGCGACATGGCACTGCAAGAACCCCGATATTATGCAACTGTTGATCAGAGCAGTATCTCAAGCCGCTACGCAAGAGTTCGGGCTCCTAACCTGATATGTCCTGGAAAGGGGTATATTTGGACGAAGTAACTAAGTGGTTTTGGCTACTATAACCAAGTAGAATATGGTAGCAGTAATGGACTTGTACCCGTCGTAGTCGCAGGTAAGAAGTGTCGATCAATAGCGTAGTCCAATGGGTCTCGTTATAGATTAGCTCTCAGACTAAGGCTCTTGATTCTGTCGTACCTACACGTCCGTCGGTATTTATGACGGACACCAGCCAATGATATTCCAGTGAAGAGGAACAGGTGTACGCATATTCCATTATATCATAACTATTAGTCGGGAACAGCAACCAGAAAACTACCATCCAGTTACCTTCAGTATGGACGTTGCCACAAACATCACACATCGCAAAGATCCACGACAGCACTTCTACAGAGGCCATAGAAAAGGAAAGAATCCGGGAGCACCTTTTTAAACAGGTTCCAAATGATGAGCGTCTACTCTTGTTCAATAGAAGGGGGAGGAGTATAAAAAAAAACAACAACAAAAATGAAAAAAAAAACAACAAAACAAAACAAAAGAATCAAGCAACAAACAAGAAGTCCATGAACAATGCGCATGGCACCCAGAATTTAAAGTGAAATATAAACTTTCAACTTAGTTTAAGTGCCAATATGCACCTCCCGTTGAAGACGGACACTCCACGACTGTGAGCCAGGAATATAGTACTTGTATAAGCCAAAAAATGTAATCAAAGAACTAATATTCAAACAAACTTTTCCAAATGTGGGTAGACTAAATTCATTTCAATTAAATAAAATTTTGAAAAAAAAAAAAAAAAAAAAAAAAGAATTGTTACCGAGTGAAGAAAAAGAAAAGGATAGGTAAATAAAATGATTGAGAATGAAATTCAAAGAGATACAAACAAATATGACGGGCGACAATATAATTTTTCACGTGTCACAAAGAGTTACATTTTCTTTTCTTTTGGCTATATACTACATATGAATTTAAATCCTAAGACCGGGGGTGCGGGGCAGTTCTAATATGGCCGTGTACCCGCATTAACTTCGCAAGGAAGACGAATACACTAAATATTATTCAAAGAAACTTTTCAACAAAGGGGTAGATTAAATTCATCTCAATTAAAAAAAAAGAAAAAAAGCTCTCTCTCTCTTTCTCTCTCTCTCTTTCTCTCTATTTATCTGTCCTAATTCGGTCCTATCTATATGGCCATGTACCAGCATTAACTTCGCAAGGAGGACGAACACACCAAATATTATTCAACTTTTCAAAAAAGGGGTAGACTAAACTCATTTCAATTAAAAACAAATTTGCAAAAAAAGCACTCGCTCTCTCTTTATCTATCTATCTATCTATCTATCTATCTATCTATCTATCTCACTCCGTTCCTTCCTATCTATCTATCTATCTATCTATCTATCTATCTATCTATCTATCTATCTATCTCACTCCGTTCCTTCCTATCTATCTATCTATCTATCTATCTATTTCACTTCCTTCCTTCCTTCCTTCCTTCCTTCCTTCCTTCCTTCCTTCCTTCCTATCTATCTATCTATCTATCTATCAATCTCAGTCCGTTCCTATCTATCTATCTATCTATCTATCTATCTATGTTCATCTATTCAATATCATCTGTTCCATTTTCTCGCTGTCCAATTAAGCTTCATTGTCGGATTTTCACTTATTTTTTTGCACCCTTAAGGAATCAATGAATTTGCTTCACTTTAACTGTAATCATTTGACATGAGACTTGAGACTACTTTAGATATGTCAGTGCATACATACATACACACACACACATTTATATATATATATATATATATATATATATACTTTTTCTTTGTATCGTGACATTACTAAATTTGAGTGAGTATGTATTCGTTCATTAATGCATTTTCATCCATCATATTTTTTAAACGCATTTCGCATTGCAAATACAGATTTTATATTAAGTGAAACACCAAATATGAATGACTTGCGTGTTGGCCGAAATATCTCTGAATTAGCAGTTATGAATATGATTTTATAGGCATCTTATTGCGAAAAGAACAACTGCACTGCAAACTATGATTTCCTGATATGATGATTCTTGATCACCTATAGTTTTGGGAATGGTAGCATCAAGAATACTAGCGCAAAGTACCCCAACAATTTTTTAAGATCTCACCGGTATTTTTGGGTTTGTGTTGCAGCCTCTTATCAGTCTAGTTCTCTTTTCATCAGTGGGAGAGCTTTATTTTGCGTTTTCTCTTTTAGGATTTAATTTCTGGTTCATTCTAAATTTTACTTCAAATCTAGACTTCTAACATCTTTGTCTAATCTCTGAAATGCTATTTACTAAGTATTTATTGATATTTTCTCCTTAATAGGTGTAGATGGGGTCGCCTACGGTCCGGCTGACAATTCTCTCCGGTCTTTTGTGCAGAAGTTTTCAACGATCTTTTGTTTCCTGTTTACGCCATTCGAACTTTTGTCCGCATCTTTGTCGCCATATTTATTACAACATTTCAGCCGCTGTACGCTCCGGCCTTCTTCAGGTGGTTTTGATGATTCCTTAACTTTGCGAATTTTCCAATGATGATCTTTGTGATTTCAAGCTGATCCCACAGAGGGTGGTGATCTCCTTTTTCTCTCCATATTTGGTCAGCCACGCCTGATTTTTCCATTTCTATTCGAGCTTTCTGGTGTTCTTGAAGCCTTACCTTAAGGGGGCGGCCTGTCTCCCCTTTATATTTCTTTCTGCAGCGGCACGGGATGGTGTGCACGGAGTCTTTAGTTATATTCTCCTCTATTGGGACGGTCATACTCGGGAGAGATATCTTCGAAGTGTCGTCCAGCTTTTGAAGTTTGTCCTGATGTTATATGGACCGCAGATCCTTTGTATTTTCTTCGATAAACCCTTTACATAAGGAAAGCAGACTGTTTTCTGAGTGTTGTTATTCATCTCTTGTTGTTATTTATAATATTAATAATATTAATATTTTTTCTTTTATTTTATATTCATATTCTTTTTCTTTTTCTTTTCTTCCCTTCTTTTTTATTCTATTTTATTTTGCTGGCAATCTTTAAATTAATGTCAAGCGTTAGCTGTAAATTATATTAATCTGTTCTTTTTAATTAACCGCAATATGCCTATATATGATAATTTATTCTTCCTTTTCTTCTTTCTCAACATTTTCCCCACCACTGTTTCCCCATTTATTTTCTTTCATATCATATCGCTTATATGTGTTATTTTAATCTTAGCTAATGTACACGACAATTTATCCATCGCGCCTTGTATATCTGTTAAAATCAGATGTCAGTGTTATTTTCATCTTTGCTTATTTTAGACGACAATTTATCCACCGCACCCTGTATAGATATTCACGAACATATCAGGAACGACTTTCGACTCAGATAATCGTAGCTCACACCACAAAACATGCTCTGTCTATTACTTATAATAATACCTGAAATATATATAACATATTCTTTGACTTATTCTTCTCCTTTTCTTGTGAAAGGATAAATATGTCAAATGTCTTGAACCCTAACCCTTACTCTTAAGTATCTTATTAAAGATAGATTTAAACATATTCCTATCTCTCCTTGCCCTCTCTCATTTCGATCTTATCTGTCGTCCTCCTCCCCCCTCTCTCTATCACCTTACATCAACTTCAAACTGACTGGCAAAAACGTATATAAAATTATGATATGTACATTTTTAAACCATTTTCTTTTATGCTTGGAAATGTGATCTGAGGAACCAGGAAAATCCCTTTCCTGGAGAAATAAAATATAATCAATGACCTCTTAATGTTGTCTGATTTTTAATTAATCTAATATTAGCTGTGTTTTTTTTATTAAGCTCTCTGGATTACATCCTCCTTGTGATTATCCATAATTTTATTACCTAAGTAATAGTATTAGTATTACCTAACATTAGCATTATAATTCTGTCAATAATGCCAAACTTGATTCTTGACAACTGATATCATGTTTCTTCTTATTATTATTGTATTTCTATCGTGGAAATATCAAATTATTGACATCATATATTAAAGGACAATATATATTTTTCTTATTTTCAATGCATTTCTATAGTAAAACGATTAGCAATTTTAAAACATCATTTTCAAGCAAGGCAATAATGTCACTATGACACAGAGACTTACAGGAGGTGAAATAAGATCTTCTCTAAAATGGAGAGTTTTATAACCCTTCCCACCAAAAACATAATCCAGCAAAAACCAAACAGTTAGCCTTGGTTTACCCTTGAATGCGGTGCAGCCAGAGATCACCGGAATCACTACTACAATATCTATCGCAAATGGCGGTATAGTCTGACATTTACTGCTTTTAGAATCGCCTGCAATCTCTGAAAGAGATTTCTGGAAAACGCAAAGGCCAGATATGCGAAAGATGTCCAGAACAAGGTCGAAAAGAAACAAATTGGATCTCGCGAATTCTTGAAGATCAGCATCCAAATTATAAACATCTGTGCCCACTACCATAAATGACCTCGTGGTCACATCTCCCTCGATAGACAAAATGAAGTTCTTCGCCTTGATCTATCCCTTCCCATAATTCTCACGTCCCACTGAGCACAATCTCAGTAATATCTTCATTTCAGCACAAGAAGTCTTGAGACTTACCAAAATCCTCGACCCTAAGAAATCCACTCATCCAGACAAAATTCCAGTGGTTGTTCTTAAGAATATCAACCCGGAATTATTCCCAATCCTTTATTATTGTACTGTTGTTGAAGGAGAAATTCTTCCCAAGTCAGTGAATGAGTCAAACGTAAGTTCTGTTTTCAAGAACGCGTGCCAGCATAGACCCATCAGTCTCTTCAGTATCATCAGTAAGCTTTTTGAGGTTCTAATCAACAAGAAGGTCGTCGAGTGCCTAGATAATAACAAACTTCTATGCGACGAGCAGTATGGGTTTCGAACGTTTCGATCCACTGCTTATGTCGCAAATACTATTACATACAGACGTAGTGAGGCGCTTGGCAACAATCACACAAGACCTCTTGAGACTTATCAAAAGCCCCGACCCTAAGAAAGCCACTTGTCCAGACAAAATTTCAGTGGTTGTCTTTAAGAATATCAACGCGGAATTATCCCCCTTTCTAGCGAAGTTATTCCACCGATGTTTGAAGGAGAAATTCTTCCCAACCTAGTGAAAGGAGTCAAACCTATGCTTTGTTTTCAAGAACGCGGTCGAATGATCTTCCCACTTTCCAGCATAGGCACAAAAGTCCTTTCAGTATCATTAGTAAGCTTTTTGAGGTTATAATCAACTTGAAGGTCGTCGGGTGCCTAGATAAGAACAACCTCCTGAGCGACGAGCAGTATGGGTCTAGAACGTTTCGATCCACTGATTATGTCGCAACTACCATTACATACAGACGTCGCGAGGCGCTTGACAAGAAACACACGTCGGGGACCATAGCATTAGATATCTCAAAACCCTTTGATTAAGTTTTGCTACACAAGCTACCCAGAGTTTTCTCAATTATAAAATCCTTCCTACCAGATAGATCTCTGGAGTTAGTTATTAACGGCCAGTCCCCCGACGACCTGCGGTCATCGCAGTTATCCTTCAGGGGTCATTTCCCGGACCAACCCCTTTTCTGAGTTTACATAAATGATCTGCCTAAGAATATACTCAGATCATTTTTAAACATCTATGCCTATGGTACGACGATATACGGGGTGCACCACTAAAACTCTTGACGAGTAGAGATTGGCACCTGACGTCTCTTCAGATCTTGAACTAACTTCCCAGTGGGGAATAACTGGCGGGCTACATGCGATGCCACGAAAGCTAGTTACATTTCATCACCGCCGATCGGACCCCGAATTTACCGAAAGTCACGATGAGCGTGTATCCCTTCGAGGATGCACCTAACGAGAGAGTATTGGGTTATCAAACTCGCACCTGACTTATGTGGAATTCTTACATAATTGGCTCTGGTCTGGTATCTCGTCTGCAGTCGCTCTCTCACAGAAGTGTCGTCGACTCCCTCTGTCTTTTGTACAAATACTTTCATGGTAACTGCTTCGATAAGCTGATTTCGCTGGTTCCCAGACTTCATGACTTCTGCAATTACAAAAGTCCCTACTACAACGAGCATTACGAAAGTGACAACGAAGGACCTCCAATCGGTTGTGAACTGGGGCAGGAATTGGCTGGTTAACTTTAAAGCGTCAAAACCAAATCTGTTCTCTATTAATCACCACAGAGAACCATCCCTGCTACCCATTAGAATGTCTGACGCCCAACTTCTCGAGGGCTCCTCTTTGTGACTACCCGGCCTCACATTGACAGCTGGCTTGAGATGGAACAAATCAACTGAGTCAATAGCTTCGTCCACCGCAAGGAAAGTTGACTCCCTGTGCCGCGTCAGAAAATTTTTCTCACCGGAGTCGATCCATCAAATCTACAAATCAACCATTCGCCCTTGCATGAAGTATTGATGCCATATATGGTCCGGTTCTCCTTCTGTTTGTCTCAAGCTTCTTGATAAAATCCAAAGACGGATATGCAATGTAATTGGCCATGATCTGGAATCTCGTCTGCAGCTGCTCTCTCACAGACGTGCCGTTGGCTCCCTCTGTCTTTTTTACAAATACTTTCACGGTAACTGCTCCGATGAGCTGCTTTCGCTGGTTCCCAGACTTCATGAATTTAAGCGTTCAACTAGGCTGGCA